CTGAGTAGGGTTTGGGTGAGGTGGGTGGCTGCCAACTGGCTGCCAATATTTGAGAGAAGCTGGTGAGAAGCAGATACTTCAATTTTTGAGGCTTAAAACCTCATCACTATGTCTTTCCATTCGCCTCGTCTTCCTTCTTCAGTAACGTAGGAATTTCAAAAGGAATTTTTGGCTGGTATCCAGCTGGGCTTCAGTTTATCTCCTGGAGCACAATGACAATGGTTGTGCTCGCCTTGCCCTGTGTGGTGTAAACACTTTGGGAACAAGAGAGCAACAGCTGAGGAGCAGCAGTTGTTTCACCAACATGGGGAATGGGACAGACCTGCTCGACCAAGGACTGTGCTAGTTACTGATTCTTTGTCCCCTCTTCCTCTCCAGCTGCTGCGCATCCAGCTTTTCCACATGAAGAACATGTTCAAGACGTGCCGACTAGCTAAAGAGTGAGTACTGGGCTGTGAGATGAGGCTGTTTTGCTCTCCTGGTTCTGTCCTGGGGCACTTTGCACTGGGAATCTGTGCAGCCTGTGCAATGAGCAGCAGGGAGAGACGGGAGTGGAGGGGGAGAGAAAGCAGAAGGAGCGGAGAGGGAGGGCTTAGTGGAGCAGCTTTGTTCTGAGCTCTGGTTTCTCTTTCCTTGCAGCCTCCTGGACTCCTTTGACACAGTGCCTGGCCACTTGACAGAGGATCTGCACCTCTACTCGCTGAGCGACCTCAGTGCCACGAAGAAAGGGGACCTGGTGCCTCGCCTGACAGAGCTCCTGAAGGCAGGCAGCCTGCACGTTGACAAGTGCATGGTAAGGCCTCCCTCACCTGCCTCCTGCCCAGCTCTGCACCCTTGGGAGCACCCTTGGGAGAAAGATTTGCTGCAGAGATAACTGATGGGAAGGCTTTGATGGGCAGGGCAGCCACCAAATTAACTGATTCAATGCTGACTGTTCCTGCCTGCTCCATAGAGCTCCTATCCAGAACGTTTGGGGTGTTTGTTACCCACCCCTGACACACATAGATTCTGCCTTCCTGTGCTCCAGGCTGATGAAGGGCTGTCCCACATGGTTAGAGCAGGGCACTCTGTCCTGCTCTGCTCTACCTCCTGCCCTGGTTGCCAGGGAGATGAAGAGCATTTAGCTGTTTTTTCCTCATCTTTTCTCCTTGCAGCTGTGCCAAGCCAAAGGCTTCATCTGTGAGTTCTGCCAGAATGAGGATGACATCATCTTCCCCTTTGAGCTCAACAAGTGCAGGACTTGTGAAGGTGAGATACTGGGGAGGAAGAGAGAGGAAGCAGGCCACCAAGGTCTGCCTTCAGTTTGAGTGGCATTTATACTAGCAAGAGGTACAGAGCCCTAGCCAGCCAGCCAGAGTGCCTCTGTGCATGGCCTGTGTCTGGAAAATGTTATGACAGCAGCAGATCAGCTTTGTAACAGTGGTTGGCCAGAGCTGCTGGCGTGGTGGAGTGTGTAGGTCCCCTCCTGACCACGCTGTGTGCTGCCTGCCCTGGCAGCAGTGGGCATTCGGGCTGTGACTGCAGCAAGTGGGTGTCTGGGAGTCCTGGCTTCCCTTCTGCTGAGGTTATAGGACAGGCTGCAGCTCCCCTGCCTCTGCTTGGATGGCTGGAGCTGACCTTGCAGAGCAGAGAGAGCCTGAAGGCTTTCTCTCTGTGTCCTTCCTGCCTGCCACAAAATCCCCAGACCCCTTCAGAAGTCATCCTTGATACTGCCCAGTTCTAATGTCTGAGTAGAGCTTGTCCCTGCAGCTTGGGATCAGCCTCTGAACTGGCTTAAAATGGCTCCTGACAGCATGCAAGTAGGTGCAGTGCCAGGGAAAACTTGGGTCAAAGTCACTGTTTCCTTGGAGTTCAGGAAAGTTTGGGGAGGGACCTTGTGTAGAGCTCATGTGCTCCCAAAGGCTTTGCAGCTGGTCCAGGGACTTGTGGTGTGGAGTGTCAGGCAGTCTGTCTGCCTCTACCAGCTCTCAGCCATGCTCTCCCCCCAGAGTGCAAAGCCTGCTACCACAAATCCTGCTTCAAATCCACGCACTGTCCCCGCTGTGAGCGCCTTCAAGCCCGGAGAGAGCTGATGGCCAAGCAGAGCATGGAGTCCTACATCTCGGACTACGAAGACGAGCTGGAGCAGCCAGAGGCAGTGACAGCCACATGAACAAGTTGCAGCCAAGGAGTGTATTGTGGGTTTATTTATGTGTGTGGCCTTCGTCACCAGAGCCTGAGCCACGTGGAGATAAGGACTATTGGGAGGACTGGAGCACTGTCTTGAAGGGATCTGTTTTCCCCCATGCAGTAGTGCTGTGCTGGGAAAAGGGCACATTCCATCGTCCAGATCCGCTCTAGGTACTGCTCATACTCCCTGATGCCTTTGCCTGGGGAAAGGCAGCTGCTCCTGCCTGTCCTGCAGGCAGAACAGAGACTTTTTCCAAGCAGTTGTTCATGATGGACAAGGCAGCGCTGTTGTGCCTGTCTCCATGCCCTGCTCTGAGCCCAGCAGGGTCCCCTGATGGGTCAGCACTTTCTGTTCATCACCAGTACACCAGGCAGCTCTGGCCACATCTGCTTCTTGGAGGAGGGAATCAAGTCTCTGAGTTCTCTGATCCTTTGTTCTGCTGCTGGGGCTTGTGTGAATGGAGGGAGGATGGGGGGTTGGTTGTACGTTTAACAGCTCCCTTTCTGAAAGCTGGTGTGGGACACTGGTGGAGAGTTGCTGTCACTCAAGGATCAGAGCAGAGGAGGTGGCAATGATGAAAACACCAGACTTCCCTGCCTACAGCCTGTGCTGCAGTGGGACATTGCCCCTGGAGCAGCCACCCAAGGGGACTGGTGCTGACAGGCTTTTGGTAGGCAGATCCCCATGGCTCTATTAGGATCTGCCTCCATGGGATACAGGCTTCCAACCTACTTTGTCCTCATGCTGCCAGTCTGTCTTCCCTGGGGGGACACGTCCTCTTCTAAGGGTGACATGGGACCTCACTCTGGTGACACCAGGTCCTGCCTTGTGTGCAGCTGCCTTCTGCCCGAGACCTGTTGGGATGCAGGTGAAGGCCCAGCCCTCCAGCCGCATCCCCTGAGCCTCTGTCTCGCTTTGGTCTTTTACGTTCGTTTTTTGTTTTTTAATCTGTTGGATTTGGTTTTATTTTTTTAATGTGGTTGTTTGTATTTTTAACTGTGTGTTCCCCTGCAAGGAGGTGCTGCTTGAAATGCCTCCTTAAGGGGCGTGCGATCTGCTTGCAGCTCACCAGTATAAATTCTCCAGGGCTGTCCTGCTCCTGGTTTCTCACCCTTGGATGGAGCTGGCATTTGCCAGGTGTCCCCTCTCCCAGCAGACATCCGCTCCCCTGGAGAGAGGGCTCCCTGAGGCAAGCAAAGCCTCCAAGCTTCCTGGCTGCGGTGCGGCGGGGTGACCAGGCAGGCTGCTTGCAGGGGGGGGGGAGCATGGAGGGAGAGGGGTTTGGCACTGAGGTGCTGCAAAGGGTTGGTCCCTCACTGATGCAGAGCTGCCTGCCATGACTGACAGCTCTACAGGGTCAGACCCAGAGGTACAAGGTGAGCTCTGTGCCCTGGGGTTTGTGGTCAGTCAAGGAGGTGCCTCTGCAGTGCAGTGACTGCTTTAGCCCATGGCAGGGGTGAGTGTCCAGGACCACCCTGGCATGGGTGGGATGTGGAGTGTTTGGAAGGACGGTGTGGCCTGTGTATGTGCGAGAAGGGTGTTGAGGGACTGGGGAGCTACGCACTGGCAGGAGGCATTGAGGGGCAGTGGCTCTTTCAGTGTGTGCCCTGACTCGAGGCTGGGATGTGACCCCTTGTAGGCTCTTCCTGTGGGGGTGGCAGGGTTGGGGAGAGGGGAAGAGGCTGGGACCAGGAGAGGTGGCTGCAGGGCTTGGTCAGGGAGGGTGGCTGCAAGCCTTGCTGTTGGGGGCCAGGCTGCTGCACAGCAGCATCTCTCCCCTGCCTGCAGCATCCTGACAAAGTTCCGGAAACAGGGTTCAGACCCCACTTGCTCCCCTGGGGTTTTTGCCGCCTTATGTCTTGTGTCTGCTTGTTTCCCCAGCGGAGCAGCTGCTCTTCTGCTCACTCTATCTCTGCAAGCCCTGGGGCTACCAGATGATGGTCTGCCTTAGTCTTGCCTGTCCCCAACCCCAAGCCAAGCCTTCCTGCTGCTGCCCGGAGCTGGCACCCCCTTCCCTGGAGCTGCCTCAGCAGCACACCTCCATTCACCCTATTTTGTTTGAAGCACTTTATTGTCATGGGACTGCAGCTGAATGGCTGCCTGCATCCCTTTCTAGAAGCACTGAGTACATTTAGAGAAGAGGGAAGGAATTCTGGCTTAGTTATGGTTTCCACCCTCTGCCATGGACTGTGTCTGGAAGCAGCAGGACTTGCAAACCTGGCAGAGGTCTCCAGGGCAAGACTGTGCCCAGCACTGACCGCTACAACTAACACTGGGCCTGGCCAAGGCAGTGAGCTCTTTGTGAGGGAGAGTGGGGGGCTGCCCCAGCCGTCAACTGGAGCCTTCCCCATGGGATTACTGTTGCACAGCATAGCAATTAAAATGCCGTCCTTAATAAACTAAGTTAATAAGGGGTTCAGTTGTGTTGTGACATTTCAGGTGGGGTAATGGTGTGTATCCTGCTTTGAATTCACGGGGCAGGCAGGGAGTGCTGCTGATGGCAGGGAACAGGGAGCTGGTGCAGCTGGTGATGCATCCCCAGATGTCACTGGGAGGGGGTTATTGTCACCGCCCCTTGGCTAATTCATCTGGTTTGTGGCCTCTTTCTGCAAACTGCCCACTGGACTTAGGGCAGGAGGTACAAGCCACTGCGTGAGGCGCTGTCTGTAACGCCTGTCCCCTTCCTCAGCCTGCCTTTACTGCTGGCAGAGGGGCCCAGGGGCATGGCATTGGCTGCTCTGTCCCTGCTTGCATCCCCATTCCATGCAGCCCAGCTGTCCCCTCACAGCAGTGTTGTGCATCGACCCATAAACACCATCAACACAGGTGATAGAAACTGTAAACTTTAAAACAACTGTTAAAAGATGCATCTGCCACCCAGCCCAGCACTGGCTCCACCACAAGCCACTTTCTGAGGGCTTTTTCCCCAGAAAAACCCTGCTCAGCTGAAATCTAAGCTGTGGTTAGCAGCAGCAACGGTGACCTGGACTATCCTGAGCGTGGTGGTTGTAGAAAAGGTTTTTGGCAGTCCAGGCACGCTGAGCATGGGCTCTAACAGCTCCCAGGAGAGGACTCCAGCAGCTGTCCCAGCATGGCAGCTTGAGCAGGGGATGATGGCAGAGAAGAGACGTGCAAAACCCTGGGGCTTGCTGCTGTTACAGTGAGCCCTCCAACAGCACCCGGGGTGATCCCTGCCCTGGGTGATCTCTGCAGGGTGGCACCTTGGCAAAGGCACATCTGCCCCAGCACAGAGGGGCACGAGCCCTCTCAAGGCACGCTGTGCCTGTCACTGGGAGTGTGTGGGGGCGTAGCGACGCTCGAACTGGTCCACGTCAAACTTGCGCTTGCAGCCGGCGTAGTTCATGTAGCGGATCTTCCCAAAGATGGCCCGCTCTGCCCAGCCCTGGTCGTGTATTCCACAGATGGACCACAGGCAGCCTGCCAGGCATGGGGATGGAGCGTCAGCTCTTCCCCTTGCTTGGAGGCACATGGAGAACAAGTGGGATGTGGGTGCAAAGCAGGATGGGCTGGAGTATGGGCTGGGCTGCCTGCAGAGAGCCGCTGCCCTGCCCTCCCCTTGGCCATCACAGATAAGACCCCCCACCCTGTGCAGCTTGCCTACGTATCCGTTGGGGTCCCTCCCATCCAGCTCGTAGCGGTCATTAAGGTAGATGGCAAACTTCAGGGCCTCCTCAGGGGAGCGGGTCCACTCCAGGATCTTCTTGGCCCAGTACATCCGCAAGAAGCCGTGCATCTTCCCCTCCCGGACCATTTGGAGCTGGGGGGATAGGGACAGCCATAGGGATCAGTCTGTACCAGGTCACTTCTGCCCCTTCGTAAAAAGCTCAGCATTTTGTGGGGAAGATATAGGGCAGTACCTGGGCAGCATTCCAGAGTGGGTCGTGTGTGGTCCCCTGCTCCAGCTCCTGCAGACTGTAGATATAAGGCCTCTTGTCTTTGGCGTGGAGTTTCAGGGTGGTTTGTGCCCAGTCGTAGGCACCTGTGAGCAAGAGATGAGGAGCAACACTGAGCAACCTGCCACTGCAGGGTATCAAGGAAGAGATGGGAGAGCTGGGCTATTGAAGGCACCAGTCTTGAGGGCACCTGCCTCCAGAAGGGACCAAACGATGGGACATTAGTGCCCCCACAGCCCTCCTCCTAGCAGAAATAGGACTGCCAAGTTGGAGTGACCAGTTGGGTACCATCCTGTCCCCCAGCACTGCCCACATGACCCGATGCTACCCTGCACACTGTCGTAGTTCTCATTGTAGTAGCAGAAGTTTTCAGCCAGCTCCCGCCGCACCACGGCCTCCTCCACGAATGCATCCACCGACTCCTTGTACTTGCGCCGGTGCTTCTGCACCTCCAGGATGGTTCGCTGGGTGGAAACCTGGCCTGGGGACATGGGGAAGGAGCAAGTCAGGCTGCCAGTCCAAGGCACCACGCTCAGTCCTACTGCAGAGTGGAAAGCCTGGGACACTCACCAAAGTGGAACCATGGGGACAGGTTGCTGAGAGCTGCTTTGTTGGGGTCATTCCGGTGGGAGCCAAAGGATTTCAGCCGCTCTGTGATGAAGGATTTCAGCACAGCCAGCCCTGCAGCTGTGCCAGGGGTTGCCCAGTCCACCTCCTTCACGGTGCGATCCACCTGCAAGCTGGAATAACAGGCCTCCCAAGCAATGGGCTGGGTGGCGACTGAGCAGTGAGTGCATTTGCAGATGCTCTTCAGCCAGGACTGTCCCAGAATGTTATGTCCCCTGGATGTCCCCAACCAGCAAGTCCCCAGCCCATGCCAGCCTCCTCCTCTTAACTAGCCCTCTGCATGGCAGAGATATTGGAATTGAATGAATGAGGTGGGAACCTCCCCTTCCCCAGGGCATCCCCATTTCCACACCATCTGTGTGTGACCTCAGGCAGGTTACTGTCCCCACCCCCTGCCAACCCCTCCCAGGATCACAAAGCAGCTGTGAAACACACTGGGACAGGTCGTGAATGGGTTTGGAGGTGTGTCCTGCTGGTACCTCTGCTGGGCAGGACGGGGGATATGGGTGACGAACAACAGGGGGGAACTCAGTGAGGAACTCAGGGAGCTGAGCGTGGATCTTGCCCCGGATGGTCCTGGCGCTGTATTCCTGCTTGGGGGAGGCAACCCAGCAGGGCACGATGTTGTGGGCATCAACCTGGGAAGCAAAGCCATGGAGATAGTGTGACACAAAGCAAATGGTCCCAATGACATGACACACGTGCTCTCTGCTTAAGTCACTCCAGTGCACAAAACACAGGAGACAAGTTTCTCCCACATCTCACCATCAAGAATTTTCCCTTCCCAGAGTGCTGACACCCACCTGTGCAAATGGCACATCCTCTGGCAACTGTTCCCTGATGTCCTCCACCCACTGCCGGGGGAGGCGGAGGGGACTGAAGTCTGTCACCAGCCCACCCACACCATGCTCCACCACAAACGCAGGCAGCACGTCCTTGGGGTAGCCCAGCAGCAAGTGGAAGGAGATGTTCAGCTCTGCACACTCCTACAGCGACAGGGAAAGGGCTATGGGACAGTTCATAGCTCTGCAGACCCCAGCCAACCACTATCCGCTGAAGAGATGGATCTGCCTCCCCCCTTCCCCAGAAGCCCTGTCCCACCCAGCAGGGACAACCCCTGGCTGTACCTCAGCCACCTCCTGCAGGCCTCTCAGCATGAAATCGTAGTGCCGGATGGTGGCCTCCAGGAATTTGGGCACTAGGCAGAAGCAGATGTGCAGGGGCAGCTCCTGTTTGAGGGCCAGGCGCTGGGCGTAGAGGACAGCCCAGTTATCTGGGGAGAAATCACACAGGGCAGTGTCAGGAGGATGCTTCACTGAAGAGATGGGGATGGGGTTTCGCAAGAAGTTTCTCCCCAGACGCCCCTGCAGAGGGGGGCCAGGTCCACCCTACCGGGGGAAGGGACTAGAGCCATGGGAGCTCTGCTTCCCAGCCCCTTCTGCCAGCTGGTTCGCACCTTGTAGCCGCTGATCCCGGCACATCCAGTAAAGGATGCACCGAGCATTATCCTTCAGGTCCGAGCCCTGCGAGACGAGGCGAACCCGTTTTTTGTTGTACTTGAACTCTTGCACGGACGGGGCCGCCCTCCGCCGGGCCTCCTGCATCGCCTCCTCTTCCTCCGTCCTCCTCCGAGACACGCGAGGCACCTCCGTGACCTCGGCCTTTCGCTTCCCTTGTCTCCGCGGCATCCTCAGGACCGCCCGGGCCAGCGCTCGGAACACCGTGGTTGCGAGCGGCCGCTGCGAGAGAAAACGAGACCGTGCCGCACTTCCGAGAGGAAACGAGACCCTGCTGAGCCTTCCCGCTTCCTTGCGCATCCCGGTCCGCCCCCAGAGCCCGGGGGATGCTGGTCCCCTGCCCATCCTGGTCCTCGGGGGGGATAACGGTGCCCTGCCCGTTCCATTTACCTATCCGATCCGATCCGATCCGCTCCGGGTCCCCGATCCCCGGGGTAGGGAGCCCGACCCCGACCCCGACCCCGATCCCGATCCCGATCCCGATCCCGATCCCTACCCCGAGCCCGACCCCGACCCCGATCCCTACCCGGCACCACGCGGTCCTCCCAGTGTTACACAAGCCGTGGGCGTGTGTAAAGGGCGTGGTCATGGGTGTGGCCTCCTGTAAGGAGGGACGTGCCCCCAGCGCCTGGGACCGCCCCCCGCACACGGGCGCAGGTGCTGCCCCGATGTCCCGGCGCGCCCACGGCGCTGCACCTGCCCGGGAGGGGGGACAGTGCCCGCTGGTGCCTCCCCTCCCTGCCTCCGGGAACGAGGAAGCAGCTCCAGCCGCCTTCAGCCATCACTCGGCAGCGTAGTTCTCCACTAGCACCATCCCCACGCGCTGCGTCCTCAGGTCCACACCTTGTAAGGCACGGGGGTGCTGGCTTTGGACATGTCTGGGGGCACAGGAGGGCTGCCCGTGCTGCTGCTGAGCCTTGCTGTGCTGGATCTCACGCTGGGTAAGGGCTGAACGGTATGTGGTGGTATCCGGAGTGCATGGAGAGGGGAGAGCATCAGTCTCCAGAGTGGTGGGTGGCCCTGGGGTGGCTTCAGCCACAGAGGTGAAACACTGTGGGTGTTGTTTGCTCTCCAACATCTCAGCTCTGTCCTAGTGAGTGAACAGGGCAGTGCTTTGCAAAACATGAGCGACGAGCTTGGCTTTATTTCTTTTGCCTCTCATGTGGGTCTCCATCTGGGCAGAGAAGACCTTGGACCCAGCTGGACACCCTCACTGAACCTTGGTCCATGCTGGGCTCACTGCCTTTGCTACAGCCTGCCCAGCAGCACCAAACAGCCCTGCCTGGATGGCAACATCACCAGGATGTACTGGGCCTGGAAAACTTCAAATGCCACCCAACCCTGGCACTTGACACAAAGCAAGAGCAGTGTTGAGTTGAGCCCAGGGAATAAACCTGAGGCTTGTACCTCCTGGAATAAACCTGAGGCTTGTACCTTCTGAGACCCTCAAGCTACAGCCATAGGTCCCTTCCTGCTGCATCCCTCAACCCCCTCGCAGAGGTTTTGTGGGTTGCAGCAGGTCTCTCATGGACTTGCCCTGAGCTGCAAGCTGGGATTTGTTCCTTTGTAGGGCTTCTTCCCCTGTTGCCATTATTTACACCCAGTGCTATCAGTTCCTGACTATCTGCAGCAGAGAGGTTTGTGTAAACGCTGCTGCTACATTTCCAGACTGTCTCACGGTCACCAGTTCCTGCTTGGCTCTTCCTGTCAGACGGGTTTGTCTGACTTCCTCCAGGGATGGGTGAAGGTGGTGGAATGGGTCTCAGGACTGGCACCTACAGGAGTTTCTGCCCTGAGACTGGTGATGCCCGTGGCTTGTTCCTACTTTGTCAGGCTGGGGATTTACGTGGTTTACCTTGATGACGGTCACACTGCCATTCAGGGAATCCACGTGCTTGTTCCATGCAGGGTGGAAAATCCCCAGTCCTGACGATCCATGGCTGATGCGAGGCTTGGGCAGCTCATGGTAGTGGTAATGTTGCACCATCCCCAGCAGAGTCATGATCTCAGCCTTTCACTGCCAACCCTTGTCTGCTGTCTGCCACCTCTTTGCAGGGACCACTGTCAAAGACATGACAGTCCCTGCATCCCTGACTCTCCTTATATGCTTGACACCCACAGAGACCATGGCACTGCTGCCCAACACCAGCTCAAGCACTGCAGCCACCCTCCCTCCCTCCAGTCCTGCAACCTCCACCGCAGAGATGCCAATGGATGCCTTCACACCCAGTGCTGCTGCACCTCAGGGGAGCAGCCCGGAAGCCTCCAGCATCACCACAGCACAGGAGAGGGGCAGCACAGCCCACAGCACTGCTGGGTCACCTGGGCTGGGGCTCACCACTGGCACACCAACAGGGGTGGGGCTCACCACCGGCACCCCAACTTCAACCTCCACGGCCATAACACCCAACTGTCCCAAGGCAACCAATGTCACGTCTGTGGGGACCAGCACAGCCCCTGCTTTCAGCTCATTTGGAGCTGAAATGAGCACGCTGCCTCCCCCCACCTCTACTCTTCTCTCCTCCACCTTGGTGGGCACCACAGTTGGCACCAGCACCCACCAAGGGCCAGCCACGACCACGCTGCTTGGCAGCACATCCCCAAGGAGTGCCAGCACCTCTTCTCCCACCACACCAGCACTGACAGACACTTCAAACAAGCCCTTGGCAACCCCATCAGACACCACAGCCTCCCTCATTACTAGCACAGTGGCCACCAAGAGCACCCCTGCCCCCAGCCAGCCAGTCGGGACCACAGCCAGGACCATCCTTGGTACCTCCACCCTGACTGCACCTGAGACTCCCAGTGCCACTGCAGGTGAGTGCAGCCATGGGGCACCTGGGGGGCAGGATCAGGGTGGCAAATCTCCATGGTATCTCCCATCCTGCTCAGCCAGGCACCTGGCTCCTTCCCCACAGCCCAGCCCACGGCCTGGCCCCAGCCCTGTGGGGGCTGCCTGGTCTCCAGGCTCTTCAGGCCAGTGGATGGTCCTATGCTGGACTGTGACCGTGCCTTGGTGGGACTGTGCCTAGCAGTGTGACTGTACCATGGTTTGACAGTTCCTGGTGGCGTGGCTGTACTGCAACTGTGCGGCTGCGCTGCAGCTGTACCTCAGTGGTGTGGCTGTACTGCAGCAGTGTGGCTGTACTGTGGCTGTGCCATGGCTGTGTGGCTGTGCCCTTGGCAGTGAGCCTGCACCCTGGCAGAGAGACTGTACATACTCTGTACCTCAAGGAGTGGGACTGTACTCCAGCAGTCCCCTTATTATGGGACTTCAAATGTGCCCTGGTGACACCCCACTCCATGCACATCAACCAGAGCAGGGAGACTGTGCCCTGCCCCAGTACCCCTGGCTGTGCACAGTACCACGGTGTCCCTGGTGTCTCTGTACCCCATCAGAGCAACTGTGTCCTCACAGAGTACCTGCACCCTGGCCTAATGCCCACAGTGTGAGAACACCTCATCAGAGTGCCTGTACTCTGGTGATGGCCTCTGTGTGCCTGTGCCCCAGCAGTGCCCCCATGTACCTGTACAGCAGCAGGGCGGATGTGCCCTGACAATCCTCCAGCGTGCCTTGTCTTCCTGCCTGCGGAATGCCTGTACCTGGCCCAGTGCCTGCAGGCGCCTCCGACTGGTCTTGTCCCTGACCCTGAGAAGAAGGAAGCTCCAGCTGTGAGCAGTACACTTCAGCCGCGATATGCTGTGACACGGGGAAGTGATGCCTGTACAGACAGCCCAGGGGACAAACCCTCAGCCTGGAGCACGCCCTTCCTGAGTGCTGCCTGTTCTCTCGGCCAGTTCCTCACGCTCAGGCAGAGCTGGCTGTTGTCTCCCGAGGGCGTTGGTGCTGGGAGCCACCACCAAACATCACCCCTGTGGCGAAGTGCAGGGACGGTTCCAGGTAGCCTGGCTACTTCCCTGGACTTTTTTCCATTGTCACCCTCTCCTCAGCAGGCAGAGGACAGCACAGTCCTGGGCTGCAGGGACCAGGTCTGTCGCAGTGGTGGCTTTGCTGGCCTGCCCTGCCCACTGCTCGTGGCTGCTCTGGGTCCAGCCGTGCAGTTGATGTCTGACCTGGAAACCCCAGTGCTGGGGCTGTGGGGAGCGCTCAGAGCTGTTCCTGTGGGGTGTAACAGTTCCTGCTCATCTGGATATGGCTGGGCAGAGAGGGGGGCTGCCCCTGCTCTTGCCCCTGCTGCTGCTGCTGTTGCTGAGCCTCACCTGCCTTGCCGTGCTGCACCTTGCTCTGGGTAAGGGCTGAGGGGGATGTGGTGTTCTCCACGGGGTGGGTGGTGAGTGGGGAGCATCATTCCCCAGGGTGGTGGGGAATGATCCTGCATCTGTGGGGTGGGGAGGTGAAATGCTGCGGGTGCTGTTTGATAAATGGGAAGCAGAGGTGGACTTCTGGCTTCTCCTTTGTGTGAGGATGAGGCACTTCAGTGCAAACGCCCACCTGGAGTGGGCTGGGATCAGACCTTTGCCCTTCTCTACATTGTTATTTAACCAGCTGCTGTGTGCAGGGAGGGAGTGGCTGCCGGGGGCTTTGGGAGTTTCTGTCTGGGTTGGCTGAAAGCAGATGGCGGCTTGTGGCTCCGTTTCCCATTCTCATGTAAGCAGAGCCCCAGACTCACTGTGTTTCTGCTGGGAACTCTGGGGAATCCAGTCTGGCGTCCCAAAGCCGCCACCTCACAGACACCCCTTGACAAAGGGTCAGGCAGCCAGGCTGTCCTGTGCATCCTTTGGAGAAGGTTACAGATCCCTGGGCTTTGCTTGGGGACAGCACACTGCCCTGGCACAGGGTCTGGGTGAGAAGAGAAGATGTCCCTCCTGTGTCTCACAACCCCGTGGCAGAGTTTCGTGGGTCACAGCACGTCTCTAACAGCTCGCCTGAGCTGCAAGCTGGGATTTGTTCCTTTGTGGGGCTGCTTCCCCCGTTGCCATTATTTACACCCAGTGCTATCAGTTCCTGACTATCTACAGCAGAGAGGTTTGTGTAAACTGCTGCTGCTGCATTTCCAGACTGTCTCACGGTCACCAGTTCCTGCTTGGCTCTTCCTGTCAGACGAGTTTGTCTGATTTCCTTCAGGGATGGGTGAAAGTGGTGGAATGGGTCTCAGGACTGGCACCTACAGGAGTTTCTGCCCTGAGACTGGTGATGCCCATGGCTTGTTCCTACTTTGTCAGGCTGGGGATTTACATGTCTGGCCTTGCAGATGCCCATTCAGGGAATCCATGTGTTTGATCCATGCAGGACGGTGAATTTTCATTCCCAATGGTCCATGGCTGATGTGTAGCTTTGATTTCCTTGGGGATCTCATGATGGTGGTAATGCTGTGCCATTCCCAGAACAGCCATGGCCTCAGCCTTTTACCACCAACCCTTGTGCATCTCATTGTCCAACCTCTTTGCAGAGACAACTGCCATGGGTGTGACAGCAGCCACGTCCCCATCTCCCCCCACCTCCTCAATATCTATGGAAACCTCGGCACAGCTGCCCACCACTGACTCCACCACTGCAGCCACCCTCTCTCCCTCCAGCCCTGAAACAGAAGCTTCCACCCCAGAGAGGTCCAGCACATCCCCAGGGACTGGCAGCACCCCAACTCCCACCACGCCTCCTCCCACCACAACAACAACTACTTCATCTGAGCCCTTGACAACCCTGGCAAACACCACGGCCAGCCCTGTTATCAGCACGGAGGTCCCCCTGAGCACCCCCTCTCCCAGCCACCCGGCCAGGACCACATCCAGGACTACCCCTGGCATCTTTCCCCCAACTATGGAGTCGACTCCAGGTACCCTGCCAGTATCTGGGACCCCCAGTGCAGCCATGGGTGGGTTCCCTACGGGAAGGTAGGGACACCTTCACGGGGACAAATCCTCACAGGGATTCTGGACATGTCCTAGGGTGGCTTCATGTACATGTCTTTGCTTAGGCTTGGTCTGTCCCCAGCTGCAGGAGCATCCTGCACCTCTGCGGAGAGTACTAATGTAACATTGCTTTGCACAGGCATTGACTTCTCTTTCCCCACCACGAACTCAGCCCAGACCTCAGAGGTTACCCGCAGCACTCCTGCAGACCTGCCAATGCCACCACCCGTCTGCCCCACTGGCTCATCCAACACCAGTAAGTGCAGTGCCTGTGGGCATCACCACCCACCCATTGTAGTTTTGGACTGCCACAGGCTAGTGCAGGGGGTCCTGGAACCCCACTGCTTTTACCATGCTCTCAGTGAAGCGATATTGATGCTCTGGGGAGCGTGCTCTGGGTTTACTGTACAGTGGGAGGGTTGTTCTCCTGACAGTGTAGAGTGTCCATGACAGAATTAACCTGGAAGGAGGTCCCGTGTCTGTGCCAGCAATCTGATAGAAAGACCCCCAGGTTCTGTGTTGCAATCCAAGGTTCAAGGGCAATAACCAGAGCCACATTTTTTGTCCCTAGGTGCATCTCGCCTCTTCCTGTCTCTGCGGCTAAGCACCCCCCTGGACCTGGGGAACAGCACAGTGCAGGAGCTGGTGTTGTCCAAGGTAAGGTGTGTGGGAGGAGATGCCATTTTGCATCTGCCAGCCATGGTCCAGGCAGTCGGGGAGGGGTCAGGCAGCCAGTGGGAGGAGAATGGCTGGGTCTTGCATTGAATGTCACCCGTAGCCCTTTTGGATGAAGGGGAGACCCTCTAGCTGACACACTTCAGGATCAGGCCCTTTCGAGGTGGGGACAGGGGGGTAGGAAACCCCCTCTGGCATGGTTTGATGGCTGTTCTTTCCCCCCAGCTCCGCAAGAACCTACAGACGGCATTCCCGTGCGCTGGCCTGTCATTGGAATGGCGAGGGAAGAGGAGCCCCTGACCACTGCCCCTTGCCCTGCCAGCTCCCACATGTACTGGCAAGCCATCTGCTCCCAACTCCTTACTCCATGGCAGTGCAGCCCCTTGGGGTAACCTGCACAGCTCCTCTTGAACTTGGGGCTCCCTGTCCTTCCCTGTGCACCCCCAGTGCCCCCCATGGGCTGTGGTGCCCCTGCCCCTTCCCACAGCCTGTCTGTAAAGCCCAAGACCTCCCACCACCCTGCTCCCGACCTGGCTCCTGTGGTGTGACCCCTTCCAGCGCTGCCAGGGGGCTGGAAGGAAAGGACCCTGCGGGACTGGGCTTTTACAGCTGGGACTGTGCTGGCTTAGCCATCAAAGCCGCCCTGGGGACTGATGGATGAGAGGAAGGAGACCTGGAGCCCCCAGCACTGCTGTGCCCAAGGCTCACCTGCGGTATTGCTGACAGAGGAGCACACCCATGCCACACGGGCCGAGCAGTAAATAGAAACTCCATGCTTTCTGTGTTGAAGTTGATGACTTCTTTATTTTCCAAGTTGCCTTTCACAATTTTCAGCTTTGCCATCTATTAGAGGTACCGGAGAGGAAAACTGTCCGAGTCCCAAAAACTTCACATGGAGAGACAGACTCAAGGCTGTCCTCTCCTGGCAGGGGCAGCTGCAGACATTCCTGAGGATGGCTGGGAACTCCAGCACATGGGGGGTCCCTGCTTTGGTGCTCTCTGCCCCATGGCACCCCACAGTTGCCGGGGCAGCTGTACACACCATGGGGCCGTGGAAATCCTGTGGGCTGTGCTCCTTCCCTGTTTTTTTCCAGTCCCCAGCTAAGGAGACGGCCGCAACATCTGTCCCCCTGCAGCAAAGTCATTTATTAACTGATTAATTAGCCAGATAAAATCCAACTGAAGCAATTATTAGCCTAAGCAAGTCACCTCGCCTGGAGATTGAAAACTGAAATAATTAGCAAAATAGCCTTGTTGCGTGTCAGGGATTGTTTTTGGCTGATCCCTATTCCTCACTGGCAGCCCTCACCGCCCCGGCAAAGGGAGGGCTGGGAAGGGGCGCATGAGGGCTGAGGGATGCCAAACGTGGGGACTGCTCCCAGGCTGCCTGGGTTGTCAACCATCTGGGAAGGAACCAGCAGCCGGACAGGATAGGGAAAGACTCCGTGGGATCACCTGGCTGCCTGCCAGCTCTCAGGGGCTGGGAGAGGCTGGGCTGGGGCTGGAGGCCTGTGCCCAGGCAGCTTGTCAGGATGCTCCCACTTGGGATGTCCCTTGCATCCCAGGGTTGCCCCTTTGCTCTTTAGGATGCTGCCTGTCTTTTGTAGGCTTGTCGGACTCACACCGAGAGAGATCCCTTGGCACCCGGGCAGGGAGCTGGGCAGTAGGGCAAAACCTGCTGGAAGGGGTCCCCATGCTGGACGCCTGATGGGGTGCTGGGAAAGAAATCCTTGTGGTCTGCCTACGCTGTGGAGCTGGGCCAAGAGTCCTCCCACGTCGTGTCCCACCGGGCTGTTTTCTCCGGCTGTTGAATCCATAACTTCAGACCCCGGGACATGGCTGGGTGCCAAAGCCGGCGTAGTGGAGCCAAACTGCGTCACAAAGGGAGGAAAAGGTCCTGAAGCGCTGGGATGAAAAGGTGACTGGGGTACTCACTGTCCTCTGCCAGCACGGCTGCCTTCTACCGTTATCGTGGTCGGGGGGCAGTGAGGGGAGGAGATGTTCTGGTCCCCTCTGCCCCCAGCCTGGGAGGGAGAAGAGGGACACAGTGAGGGCATGTGGCTCGTTTGGGGGTGGTGGTCACTGCCCAGGCACTGGCAGCACAGAGCTCTGGCAAGTCCTTGACACTGCCCATGTTCTCCATGCCTGCCATCCTTGAGGATGCTGGCTGCCACCTTCACCCCATGGCTGCTTGCCTGCCACAGATCCCTGACCAGAGGGCCTTGGGAGGTTGTATCCAGGTCCTGCTGCTTTCCCAGCCCACAAATCAGTTCTCACCACATTTGCTGTGGTCCACTGCCATCTATCAGCATTTTCCAAGGGAGCAGACCCAGTGCCCAGCAGGACTGTCACCTTGAGAGGGCCTGGCAGCATCATGGAGTGCCTATCTCAAGTCCCTTGTGACTCAGGTGTCCCTTCCAGTGTCCCCCTCCCCTTCAACCCTGCCGATGGCTATAGCCCAGCTCCTGCTGTTAGGCAGGAGGGTGTTGCAACACAGCCAGTGTGCCAAGTCATCCAGAACCTGTGGAGTTGATGGATAACCTGGTTTCCCCCACTACCACCCTGAGCCCTCTCCAAATGCCCTTGCCAGGAGGCTGGAGGGGATCCAGTAGGAGATGCTGTGTTCTCTACAAAGCTGGAACAACCAGCCCATTAATTCCAGAAAGGCTGATAAGGCACTGTGCTGGGCCATGCTCTGCTGTGCTAGATTGTGTAGAGCCCCTGGGTGCTGGGATTTGCAGAATTGCCCCATGGCTACAGGCTCCTGAAGGGCTCCAGTGCCCACATGATGCTTTGGTCCTTGCTAACTGCAGGTGACAGTTATTCTTTCAGGAATCAGCGCTTTATCAGGACGTTTGTTTCAGGAGTAGCAGAAGGATCATTAAAAAGCCCCTTCCCAGGGTGGGAGCAGGACACCATCCTTGAGACAAGGCATCCCTCAGTGGCTGCAGGCTTTCTTGGGAGAGTGTACCAATCAATGCCAGAGCAGAGGGACAAATTTGGTGTGTCATCCCTGAGACTCTGCTGGGAGATGAGTTTTCTTGGGGACAGCATGGGCAGGAGTTGCAGGTACGAGGGTCTCCAGGCAGAGCTGGCCCAGGGAGCACGGACAGGACCTTGCAGGAGGGCTGAGGCTACCACCTTGCTTCAGCCAAGTTGTTTTCCCCTATGCTGAGCAGTATGTTTGCAACAATCCCTGTGGTTCCCACCACATTTTGCACCTCAAACGCCATCTGGAGCAACCTTCTCCAGCGTCAGCATATATTCCCTGTCGGGGTGGCTTTCCGAAGTGATATGGCATTGTCAGCACAGGCAGGAACAACTCTCCCACGGTAGGTTTGTATCCCTCTAATCCTCTAATCAGCCCAGGTGTGGTGGCTGCTCAGGTGGTCACTGGCTGGGCAGTCACCCCGTGATCTGCAGTGCTGGTTACACAAGCCCCCAGTGCACCGTTCCCCCCTGGCTTTACCCCCACATCGGCATTTTCGGTGGGCAGGCGAACATTTGTTCCAGGTGAGCGGCGCTCCCCCCTGATTTACTGTCTGTGCGCAGTTCCCACTGCCGGGGGTAATGCGTGGGTTTACAGGATGGTGCTTCACCAGCCGTGACTTGGCCTCCCCCGGCATTTCCCTGTCGACTCTGCCCAGCTGGTGGGTTGGGGGTGTCACTCGACGTGCCCAGCCACTGCCGCCTGCCCAACGGAGGCCAGCTCCAGCGGGACACTCTGTACTGCTTAACACCCCTCATAACACTTTGCAGGAGTTGCCTGGGGGCATTTTTGGTTAAGAAGTGTTTAATTGACTACAGAACCATGTAGTGGTGGAAGTTTGCATAATGCTGTTCACGAGGGAGCTGGCAGCAGTTTTCACGGGGGGGTGTGCAAGAATTGCTGCTTCAGGAGAAGGAGGAAGGAGAAATATAGGGGTGAAGTGACCCAGGGGATCAAGGTGAAGTGACCCAGGGATTCCCCATAGCAGGGAGGGCGGTCCAGGCCTATGACTTTTCCTACTCGAGCTTCTGGGGATGCTGGTCCCACCTTGCAGAGAAGCTTTCCTGGATAATTTGCCCCCTCCCAGCACCCCAGCACTGCTGTGCCCATACTGAAGAGTGGGTTTCAAACCCTGCTGGGATGTGCTGGAGCTCTGGACAGGGGTCTCTAGTGCTTCCAGTTGCAGCTGAGCACTGGGAGCTCAGCTGATGCCCCAGAGCCTGTCCCCAGCCATACATCCCTGCTTTATAACCTGAGTCTGTTCCCAAAGAAGCTTTGAGCCAAGTGGGCTTTTATGTCTTGCCTTGCCCTCGGCTGAGACATGGCTCAGCGGGTGATTTTAGTGCCCATGGTGTCCTCACAGGCATGGTGGCACCAGCTGGCATTGCTCTGTCACCACCACACACTCTGTGGCCCCCTACCCTGAATGGAGCAGGTCCTGGGGGTCCATGGGGTGGCTGCCATGGGGAACAGGTGGGGTGACTGCCATGCCACTGTTGGCAGTGCCACGCACTGTTCTGGGCTCAGCTTCACCTCCTGGTGCTGGTGGACCAGGGAGCTGGGTCCTGCAGGGTGGTCTTTGGGTAACCCCCAGCTCATACCACAATGGAACAGGGCATCCAGACCTTGGGAAGGGGAGGGCTCGACCGGAAGGGAATGGTGACGGGGACATTGGAGGGAAGGGACCGGGGGCGGGAGAGGACGTCGGCAACCTGCCTCCTTCTGCCATCCCTATAAATAGGAGGGAACAGGAGCAGGAGCACCTGTGGGACTCCAGCTCTGCAGGAGAGGCAGGCAGGCAGGGAGGGACAGAGGCAGCTGCTCCTTGCTGCTCTCTCCTCCCTTTGAGCTTCCTAGTGCTCTGCCTGTGTGGAGGCCTGAGGCATGGGGACTAGGGGATGGACACTCTCCACCTTCCTGGGATGCTGCGTATGGATTCTGCATGGTATGTCCAATATTTTTCTGCTAGCCCATGTGCTACTTGAGCTCTGTTAGGGTGCAGCAGGTACACTGTGAGATGCTTTTCCCTCCTGGCTGCACTGGAAAGTCCTTGCAATAGATTGCAGCCAAAGAGCTGGAAAAGTGTTTTACGGGGCAGGAATCACCCCGAGGGGCTGTTTGCAGGCGTGGAGCCGTGGGAGAGGTGAGAGCCCAGCCCGGAAGCCTGCAGGCAGCCGTGTACCCCTCCAGCAAGGGAAGCCAGCCGGCAGAGCAGGACCCGGGGATGTTCCCATCCCTCCCACGTCCCAGGAAAGAGCAAATGCTGGTGCTCCATGCTGGGGCCCCTCTTGCACTGACTTTCCATGGATGGGTGTGTGGGGTAGATGGTGTTTCCTGCTCCACACGGAAGAATTAAGATAAAACATGGATTTACTGGGGTAGAGTGTGCCAAATTAACCTGGGGGGACTTCACTGATGTGCTTTGTTTTCCCTGAGATGGGTACAGAAGCAGCTGAGCTCCTCTGGCTGAGTGGGCTGGTGCGAAGAGCTTATTTCAGCTGGGAAAGATGGTGAGGAAGTAGCCTGCCAGGAAAGGGAAAGGGGTTCTGGAAGAGGACGGACCCCTCGAGGACTGGTCTGGCATAGGAGATAATGCTCATTAATGACTCTGCACAAGCTATCTGTAAGCTAATGAGCTGAGCCGGCGGTGAGGTTGGAGGCACCTCCGCTGCAGGGAGTTCTGGCTGCCTGTCAGGGGGAACCTGATGAACCGGAGCACCAGGGTGGGGAGCAGGCTGGGGCTGTCGGGTGGTGGCGAAGCCCTGGCAGGTCTTGCCATCAGGGTGCCCTTCATCTCCCCTAATTGCAGCTGCCTAAAGCCAAGCGTCAGCAGATCCACCCAGCTCCTCCTGGAGCCAGCAGAGGCAGCCTGGTCTCCCCAGAGCCTGCATCCCTGTCCTAAATATAATACTGGGTGAAACATCACTTGTGGGTGCCAGTAGGTGCTGGGAGAAATGTCTGGGATGTGGGCAGGTGTCTCCTCCATTCAGCAAAACTCCTGCATGTGGGTCAGGATTTTGGCAGCAGAAGGAGTGAGCTGTGAGCAGGGTTTGGCCAGGGGAGCTTGCAAATATTCCCTCCATGGACAGAAAACTCCCAATGCCTTCACCCAGCTGAAGGCAAGAGAGGTGGGGGCAGTAGCAGGTAGATGCCCACCCCAGTAGAGGTTTAACAAACCTGCTTTAACTGCAGCAGATCAGAATCCATCTGCAGTCAGGGAAGGCTTCTCTAAGCCTTGGCTGTCCTCGCTGCCAAAGGGCTTTGGGTAAAGTTATTTAAATGTCTCTCAGACACCCGGAAGGCAAAAAAACACAGAACCCCCCCAGGCCCTACAGAAGTGACTGCACTCAGATCTGTCCCGGAAGCAACAGAAAGAGGGCTGAGGGCTGTCCTGGGGTGGCAGAGCTTCACAGACACCCCTTGGGCTGTGAGCTAGACTTACTGGGCCCCAGCTCTACCCAGTGGCCAGGCAGTACCATCCCCAGCATAACTGGACTGGGTTGCAGTGGCTGCCTTTGCCTCCACGCTTGCACCAGTGTGTGTCTCTCCCTGACCTGTGATAAGTTGTGTCCTGTCCCATCTGGTAGCTGCTCATGCTGAGGATGGAAGAGGTGCTGTGCAGTGCTATGCCTAAGGCAGCCCAGACTGCACTCCTTGGCTCTTAAATTAGAGCCTTGTAAGGCTGTGGGATGAGGCAGTAGGGTTTAAGGAGGGCTGGGAGCTTTGTGATGCTCAGCTGGAGGAGAGGTGTGTCTGAGCCTGGCAGGCTGCTGGCTCTGGCACTTGGCGTAATGCTCTGCTTTGTGCTTTTCTGCAGGGCTTGGGGCTGCTGCTGCCCCTGTCACTACCGAGGGGCCCTTTACTGTGGGGACAGCTTTTCCCATCACAGCAGAGAATGAAGAGCCCAGTGCCCTGGTGATGGGCACTGCGGACACAAGCACCACGGCAGCTGATGCTGAGATAGACGAGAGCATCTTCACGAGGAGCCCATTGAGTTCGACCTTCCCTCCCGGGACTGAGCTGGACTCTTTTGTGACTGCGATGAGTGAATATGGCTCTACAGTGACAACCTTGATGAATGTAACCAAGCCTCTTAACACATCTCGGGGTATTGAGGGGGGGTTGGCTGCTTCCACTACAGCCACAACCGCTGCCGCTATCACTGCACAACACCCTGCTGTCACCCCAGAAGTAGAGCATGAGGTAATGGAGGCCACTCCTGATCCCACCCTGATCACCCCAGATGTGAAGGAAGACATCCCTGCAGCTGTGACCAGAGGAGAAGAAGACATAGACCTCATCACTGGCAATATGTCCCACCCTACCACCCCTCCACCAGCAGACACCTGGGTGCCACAGCCAACTGCTGGCAGCCCCTTGGGTGTTGGTGTCACTGTGCTGCCAAGCCAAGGGCTGACCACAGCCATGGGAGCAGTCGAGGAAGTCGTAACTCTGTCTGCATCTGTCCAAAGTGGAGCCAATGCCAACTCCTTAAGTCCCAGCCCCAGCACTGAGGAGCTGCTTACGACCCAGCAGAGTGGAGTGGTGAGCAGGCTTGAGGGCACTAACCCGGAGACAGCAGAAGAAATGGCCCCAGCTGCTGAGGAAAGTCCTTTGGCTTCAGAGTCTGGAGATGCAGGAGATCCAACGAATGATGAATTCAGCACAGCTGGCTCATCCCACCTACCTCCAGAGAGCCCAGTGATGTCAGAAACAGTGGGAAACCCTGGGGAGCCCTCCTTCCTCCCTGGCCACGCAGTGCTGAGCCCAGACGCTTCCCTGGCACCGTCCACAGGGGATGGAGATGGGCAGGGAGTGTCATCAGAAGCTTCTGGTTCAGCTCTGTCACCTGCAGCCAGCGAGGCACCAGTGGCACCTGAGGAAACAGAGGACACTGCCACAACACTGCTGGCCCCAGAGGTTCCCACTGATGCACAGAGTGACATGAATCTCCCAACCGTGGCCACTGTGCTGCCCACAGGGGACATGGGGGCTGTGGGTCTGGACAATCCATCCCTGCAGCCTGACCCATGGCAGACCTCCGCCGGAGAACAGCCACCACTGCTTCCTGATGCTCTGACGGACACCCCCAGTGCTCCTGGGGCTGCTTACCCACCCCCAGGGGCTGAAGCCAACACCCTGCCTGCAGCTGATGGTGCAGCAGAGACACCATCCAGCCCCAACCTCACTAATGCCCCAGAAGCACCCATGTCTCCATCTCTCGGAGAGTCACAGCCAGGAGGGATGCCAGATGGACCTCCCCAAGAATCTGATGGATCTGACACTGGCTTGAGTTCAGATTCGGATGCCCCTAGCCCAGCCCTCTTTGTACCTGATGGACTGGCATGGCCCACTGCTGGGGTCCAGGGTCAGGGAGATCAGGGAGCAGAGGACATGGCACAGACAGGAGGTCCAGGGAATGGCAATCCCTATACAGACACCCAGAGTGACATGAGCCTTTCAGACACCCAGCCCTCAGCCTCTCCTGCTAATAATGGAGAGCTGCTGGCTGGAGGAACAGGAGATTTGGCAAGTGCTGGGCAGTCCCCTCTATCAGCTCTTGGGGAGGGAACAGGAGCAGGAGGTGCCCCGGCACTGGGAGAAATGTCCTCACCTGGTTCTGCACCTCCCAGCAGTGCTGGAATGGAGCCCGATCTCTCAGGGGCTGAAGGACCAGCGGACCTGCCCAGTGAATCTGCCAGTGGTCCTGGGGCTGTTTACCCACTCCCGGGGGCTGTGTCTGGCCCTGCATCTGAGACAGAGACACCAGCGAGCCCCAACCTCAGTGGTGCCCAGGGAGCACCTGGGTCTCCATCCTTTGGTGGGTCGCAGCCATGGGGAACAGCAACTGGTGCTCCCCAGGGAGCTGGTCTCCCTGGAGCTGAAGGACCAGACTCTGGCTTGTCTTCGTCAGGAGATGCCCCCAACTCAGCAGTTCATGGACTGGCAGAACCCCCATCACCTGCTCTTGGGGACCAGCTTGGCACAAACCTGGGGCTGCCAGCAGCCGGAGGGCCTGGAGTGGGCACGGCAGAGCAGACACTGGAAGGAGCAGG